CAGGGGGGGTCCGGACCCCGTGGACCCTCCCACTGTACACGCCCCTGGGAACTGTAGACTGATACCGTGTGCTCTTGCACTAACGGGTGGAGTCCAGGGGGTAGATTCATGATTCATCAAGCTGCGTACGCAAAATATTTTGCGTAAATCTTGTCGACGTTGCTTAGTTGCGATTCATCAACACAGCTATTTAGTAAATTTTCGTATGATTTCGCGTACGCAAGCGCAGGCCCGTAGCCAGCTTTCTATTGGGGGGAGGGGGTTCGTTTTTCAATGTTGGCAATTTGCTCGGCAGGGGCGTGTACAGGGGAGGGGGTCACGGGAGTCCGGACCCCCCTTGCTCGCGAAAAAAACGCATCTGACGGGGTGTAATTTTAAAAAATTTCTGGGGGATGGCCCCCAAGACCCCCCCTTTCGCGTCCTCGCAACTACGGGTTACGGCTAGACCCCCCTGGTACAAATCCTGTACACGCCCCTGCCGAGCAAATTGCCAACATTGAAAAACGAACCCCTCCCCCCAATAGAAAGCTGGCTACGGGCCTGCGCTTGCGTACGCGAAATCATACGAAAATTTACTAAATAGCTGTGTTGATGAATCGCAACTAAGCAACGTCGATCACAAGATTTACGCAAAATATTTTGCGTACGCAGCTTGATGAATCATGAATCTACCCCCTGGACTCCACCCGTCAGTGCAAGAGCACACGGTATCAGTCTACAGTTCCCAGGGGCGTGTACAGTGGGTGGTCCAGGGGGTCCGGACCCCCCCTGCTCGCGCAGAAAACGCATCTAAGGGGGTCTAATTTCAAAAATTTCCTGGGGGAGAGCCCCCCAGACCCCCCCCTTCGCGTGCTCCTGTACACGCCCCTGGTTTCACCCCCCTCAGAAAATACCCTGGCGCCGCCTCTGACTCAGCATAGATTTATTTAATAAATAATATATTAGACATTATTATGATAGGGTCCGGTTTCCAGTTCGGCCCGCTAGCAACCAGTTTGAACGTATGAGAATGGCCGAAGAAAATTATCTTGGCAGTTAACGGTGGGTGGCGAACGCGCGAGCGCCATTTTCGTGTACAATTAGCATACGCGGAACCCGTAAGATATAGGCCGAAGGTATTTATCTTGGCTCGCAACGGCGACGAGCGACGCGAGCGTCAGTTCACGTATATTAGCATAGGGAAAATTACTGCGGGATGCTGCGACCAACGTGAAAATTCTTAATCACAATTCACAATCAAAGTAAAAGGATTTGCAATGCGCACCAACTGTCCGGCGTCCACGCTTTGTTTTAAATGCGCAACATCGGCCTTAGAACATTTACTTTAGGCGCTATGTTGCCGAGGTGGCGATGTCGCAACCGCTATATCTTAGGGTAGGAATAGAAATGAGGCCGGCAATGAAGTAGCCCCAACGAAGTAGTAAGGTCAGAATTTGCGATGTGCACCACCTGCTTGGCCACCACGCTCTCTTTTGCGTGCTCAACATCGTCTCTACGTCATTTACTTTGGGCGCTACGTCGCCGAGGTGCCGACGTCACGGGAACTCGCGAGGACACGGCGGAGCCTGAAGTTACAGAGAACAAGGTGTCGCTCATCAACCAGTGCGTGCACGCACATGGCGCAGGTGACTGTGGGGCGGAACTAGCGAGAGTAGAGAGGTGTGTCGTACGTCAACGAAAGCTTCAGTTTGACATGGCTGAGATCAAAGTGGAACGGAACTAAAGAGAAAGAGAGAGAGAAAGAGATAGGAGAACGTACTAATATGATGGTTTCAGTGTGATATGGTACGTGGTTCAGAACGAGGTGAGACGAAACTAGAGAGAGAAAAGCGGTGCAGCGAAAGCTTCACTGTGAGATTTTATCAGAGATATCAACCTGGAATCTGTGTGTTGGATTTAATAAAGCGTGGTCTTATGTATGAGTAATGCTTGTATCGCTGTGAGTACATATAAGACAGTGAGAGATAGGGGAAGAGAGGGGGAGAGAAAGAGAGCGAGCGAGAAAAAGAGAAAGAGAGAGAGAGAGAGAGAGAGAGAGAGAGAGCCAATATTTTCGTAACCCGACCGCTCGGATAGATGCACTAATATTTTACGACAGACGACGAGTCTAACAAAAATCGAGACAGGAAAACACGAGAAAGGAATTATGCAACCGTAATGCCAACCCTAATCATTGCTGCTCACCCGTCTCCCACTCACTGATCCTCGTCCGCATCCCCAACATCCTTCTCTTCTCTCTGTTCTCCTCTCCGTTGCCGCCCCCAACAAGAAACAGCACAACAAACAACAACAACAATAACAACTAGAGCACTCGGAGAGCACAGACCTCCGCCAAGGCAG